TGGTATCAGGTCATCACATAAATAATGTCTGAAATCTAAAACCCTCAACTCAAGTCATTTAAGTCATACCATATTACTCTCGAGGAGAGACCTTTCATCTCCGAGAAAGTACAAAAATATATATATATATATATATATATATATATATATATATATATATATATATAAGTGAACATTAAAGTCAGCACTTAGAGGCTATAGGCTGTTTCATGCTAGACGCAATCGAGAAGGTGAATTTTAGAAACTTCGTGCGAGCGGAAGTGGTGGAGTCGCTTGTACCGAAGAGAAAATAATGAAATAATCAAGATGATGACATTCCACACCACTTCAAATAAAAGTTTAGGAAGGAAACCTCCATCAATACTGGAACGAGTGATAACAGCTATTGGACTTTAGAAGGAAACCGCTTAGAAATGAATCAGAGATTAAGATTTTAAATTTAATTATAGAATTAAATTTATAAAATCTTATATCTAAGGTTTAGTTTCTGAAACATGGTAATTCCTGTGTAATGATGGAACCATATTTTTAAATTAGTATATATATATATATATATATATATATATATGAAGGAGCGAAAATATAGCAGGGTCGATTTTACTGCTTTTAAACTATTTGTATCCGTATAGAACGCAAACTTTCTAGGAAATTTCTCGGGCGTTCAGGACGGTAAATGTTGTTAATCCTGATTATTATAAAAAGAGCATTTACTTAAATATTTGTGTCTATATAAATAACGTATAACAATAAAATATATTAAATATATTAAAATAATTGTCGGACTTAGCCCATTTCATTGTGTGTGACGTCATTTTGTTTACGTTAAGATACGCTTTGAGCCGATATGGATGTTCGAGGGAAATCCTGGGAAGTGTGTAGTTTAAAAGCAGTAAAATCCACTTTGCAAGGGCGATTTTACTGCTATATATTTTTCTGCTCTCTCTCTCTCTATTTCTCTCTCTCTCTCTCTATATATATATATATATATATATATATATATATATATATATATGGTGAGTTCATTCATTTATTCAATGTATGAACTTCAAGCAGCTCAGTTAGTAAGAACCGACAGCCAGGTTGTTAATTGGGGCAAGAATTGGCTGGTCAACTTTAACGCCTCAAAAACTAAACTACTCTCTATTAATCACCATAGATATCATTCCCTGCCCCCCCATTAAAATGTCAACTTCTTGAGAGCAACTCCCTGCGTCTTCTCAGTCTTACGTTGACTGCTGACCTGAGATGGAACAAATACATTGAGTCAATTGCTTCGTCCACCGCGAGGAAAGTTGGCTCTCTGTGCCGCGCCAGGAAATCTTTCTCCCCGGAATCGATACTTCAAATATACAAATCAACCATTCGGCCTTGCATGGAGTATTGCTGCCATATATGGTTTGGGGCACCTTCTGTTTACCTGGGAGTTCTTGACAAGATTCAGAGACGGATATGTAATATAATTGTCCCTGATCTGGCATCTCGTCTACAATCACTCTCTCACAGATGTGCCGTCGCCTCTCTCTGTCTTTTCTACAAATGCTTTCATGGTAATTGCTCCGATGAGCTGCTTTCGCTGGTTCCCAGACTCCATGAATTCAAGCGCCCTACGAGGCTGGCATCCCGCTCTCACCCTTTCCCTGTAGAAACTTTTAAATGTAGCCGTCTCTTCTACTCCAATAGCTTCATACCTCGCACCTCTCGCCTGTGGAACACCCTTCCCAATTACTGTTTCCCTGAGAGCTATAATCTCCAACTATTCAAATGTAATGTCAATCGACATCTCCAGTTACCTTGATCTAACCACTATCCCTCTCCTCATCCTTTCTTCTATCACTCCTATCTGCTCTTGCTCCAAATCTTCTGCAATCCCCTGCATCCTAGTGGCTTCACGCCTTGCTCAGGGTGAAATGCTTAAAAAAAAAAAAAATTCGCCGTCTGCACACTCTATTGCAAAACATACACGTGACCCTGACCCTTTTGTGTCGCCGAAGTAAGTCTCCGCTACATGTTGTAATAGGGGAATTTTTATGTGTACTTTAAATTCATGGAATTCTAAAGACCTTGGTCATCCATTAAATTGTGAATTATGAATCATCAAAAAATGAAAATAGAAGAACTGTAAATTGTTCACGGGTGTTGTTATGGAAGTAACTCTCTATTCCCGGACCGCTTCAGAATGTGAGCGATAAGTAAAAGTTCATATCGATTTTCATGAAATTTCTATGAGTTGGGATGGTTTGTGACTCAGAAAAAAATTCATTGAGTTTTACTTCACGTCACTATGTTAACACCGGATGTAATTCTGTCTAATACAATTAATATTCAGGTTTATTTAGTCGTGTCTGTGATGCGTTATATGGTGGCAGAGAGATAATATATGAGGCTTACGTCATTAATAAGGTGTCATACATTAAAATTAGACACAACCCGATGACTGAGATTAAATTTCAGCGCTTTCAAATTCTAACTTGTAGAATATCTTTGGTTCACCTTTCTCTTTCATACTAAGGATGAGATAAATATATATATATATATATATATATATATATATATATAGATATAGAGAGAGAGAGAGAAAGAGATAGATAGATAGATAGATAGATAGATAGATAGATAGATACAATAGAAGTTACAAACAAATATTTAAGTAAATGCTAGATTTTTAGTAATAAACAATTAATTATTAACAACATTTACCGGCCTGAATATCCGAGAAATTTCATAGGTAAAATGTTTTCCTCCGACAGGAATCGAACCTGTATCCTATTTATTTATTTATTTGGGTTAAATTATTTTGCTTGTCTTTATTTATTTTTATCTTTTTATTTCTATTTTTTATTTTTATTTCTTATCTATCTATTTATTTATTTATTTTTAATTTTACTTTGGTGTTTTATTAACGTAGTAAAAATTTGTTTATATCGCTTATTTAATAGTTTTGGTTTTGGAAATAATTAAAGCTATTTATTCAATTTTGGGGTTGATTGTTGTAGTTTATTCTAACTATTATTTTTGTGGAACAGTTTTTAATTTGTTTATTACTTTATGTATTTATTTGGATTGATTATTTTTTTGTTTTTTTTTTCTAACGGTTAATTTATCGGGATCGGTTTGTTAGTTTTTTTTTTATTTATTTATTTATTTGGATTAATTTAGATTAATTTATTTTACTTGTTTTTTATTATTTATTTATTATACTGTATATTTTTATTTATTCTTTTCGGTTTTCGATTTTTTTTAAGTAACGTAGTTTTTTTTATCGTTATAAAACAGTTATATCTATGATTTTCGTCTGATTTTTTGGTTTGATTTTTATAGTCTAACTAATATTTTGGTCATAATGGTTTGTTAATTAGTTTATTATTTACTTTTATTTATTTGGGTTCATTGATTTTTTTTTTTTTTTTTTTTATTTATTCTATTTCGTCTATTCTAACAGGTGTGATTTGGTAATTTGTTTGGGTTAATTTACTTTACTTATTTTATTGTCATTTTGTTTATTTTTATTTTTTTTTTTTTTTCAGTTTTCGATTTTTTCTGAAAACAAATATTTACTACGTTAATTAAAAATAGAATGTAACTCTCTTGAACCTGAACATCTGCTATAATAAATGTCATCATTTTTACACGCAAGTTCCACATTGACGTAAATATTTCTTTTTTGCCTTCTTTTTCATCTTCGTCTTTTTCTTTATTTTCTTTTTGTTGTTGTTGCTCTTCTTCTTCTTCTCATTCTTCTTTTTCTTTTTCTTCGTCTTCTACTTTTTCTTCTTGTTCCTTTTCTTCTTTGCCTTCTTATTTTTTTCTTCTTCTTCGTCTTCTTGTTGCAGTCGTTGTTTTTCTTCTATCACCAATCAGCTAACTTTTACTACAGCTCTCATGGGAGACTGACTTCTTCAAATACTCATTCCCTGTTCATTTCTTTGCTAATAATCATGACATGCCAATAAAAATAGATTATTTCGATATCTTACAAGACTATTATCAATAAACTATAACAGATGGAATTATCTCTTTCACTCTTCCTCCCCTCTCTCTCTCTTTCTCACCTTCTCTCCCTGTATACGATAATTCAAGATGCACAACTTATACCATTTTCTCACAGTCATAAAAGTTTGATCTTTTACGACATTACTGTCTCTGTATTGTTTCCTCGCTCCACATACCTTTGCTTCTTACTAGCCAATCAGGAATCAGTTTAAAGGTGCTAAAACATTTAAGTTTTGTTGAATAATATCAACAAGATCTTTTTTTTATTAAATTTTCGAATAAATTGTTTCGTATGATCAGTCTTGCTCTTTTACCCATAGCTGGGGGAGAAGGGATAGATTCAGGCCTTTCCCAAGACTTGAATTCCAAGAAGTCGACTGTACAAGGAGAGACAATATGGCATCTCAGTTTCTTTCCCTTTCCAACCACTGTAACGTGGCTTCCCCAAAAATTTTTTTCTATAAATTGTTTTTAATTGTTTTTGATGTTTTTTCCACATTTGTTTAAGAAGTGAAGCATAGATTAACAGAAGGTCTCATCATTTTACAGATAAATTGGCTAGATGTAACCGTAAGTTCTATGCTGTCAGCTTCTTCAGTCACACTTCTCGCTTGTGGAAATTTCTTCCGGCTTCATACTTCCCAGTCAACTCTGATCTTTAAAAATCTAAATACAATGTCAATCGTTATCTACTGTCGTCTTAATTCTTATTCTTTTATTGTCCCCTCTCTCTCTTTAATAATGTTTCTTTTTCTCATATTCTCTCTCACTAGGTTAGTTGTTTCTGTTTAGCGGCATACCAATACCTACATGGGTTATTTAATGCCGAAATCTAAATAATGGTTTTAGAGATACATGTCTTATTATTTAATCTATAACTTTGGGGGGAGAAATGGATAATATACCTTTAAAAAAATTATTTTTTTAATGAATATAACGAACCCAACTGGAATTGGAACTCCGATTACCAATTCCGAGCCATAATTCATTACACCACCCACACATCTAAGCTTACAGCAGCTGGTATTCCTAAGCGGTCACTCATCTAGGTATTGACCAGGCTTGACGTTGCGTAACTTTGGTGATCGTACGGGAACCGGTGTTTAGATACAATAAACTTAAATGGCATCAACATTTTTAGTTAAGTACAAGAATATGCAATTAATTCGTGACTTGATTTCTGTTCGTATTTTCAATATTACAGAAAAGTTTATAGAACGTTTGTTCACTATTTACATTATTCGGACTATTGTTCTCATCTTTGTCGCCATATTTATTACAACGTTTCGGCTGCTGTACGCTCCGGCCTTCTTCGGGTGGTTGGAATGTCGAATTGAACCCTTTATTTCGTTTACTGGGGTAGACTGTTCTAGTTCCACGTGCCATGTTTAATAGATGTCAGTTATCAGTTATCTCCAGTTAATTTTCCCTCTGAAAGTTCTCGACTGCCTTAACCGGGTATTGAACTCACACTCTTTGGGTCCTGTCATTGGATCTAACTGACACCTTTATCCACTGTTTCATGTGTCCTTGAGGCCGGAGCGTACAACGTCCGAAACGTTGTAATAAATATGGCGACGAAGATGAAGACAATAGTCCGAATAATGTAAGTAATGTACATAATAGCTCATTTCAGAAATATAGACAGAACATTTGTTTTTAAAAAGGAAAATTGTTTGTTTTTTCAACTCAGGGAAGTCACGAAACAATACCCTTAAGAAATTCTTACATTTGTTTGTACCAATTTAAATATTTCGGTCAACTTTACCGTTGAACTTTTATAATTCTTTATGAGTGTGGTCATTAAAAGTAGCAACCACTTTATGGACATATCTAATAAGGCTTATTAATAGACAAACACTTGAATGATCTTGTAGTTATTGTTGAATTGTACGAAACTCAAGGAATTGGTAAAGAAAAAAAAGAAGAAAAATAATAGCTATTTCTCGGTCTATTAAAGTGCTGCTTCTCGAGAGACATTATTTTTTCTTTTTTCTTATTTGTTTTTTTTTAAGAACACAAGAATACAGAATGTTTGTTTAGTTCTCAAACGTTGAAACCCAGAAAATATAATTTAAAGTTTTCATTGTTTCTTTATTTTATTCCATAAAATGATGCTATCAGGAAACTGACTTGTTACGTCTTCTCGGGTTAACGTTTTCATCTGACATGAAGTGGAAAGATTATATTGAATCCATTGCTAGGTCAGCAGCTAAGATAATTGGTTCATTATCCTGTGATAGACAAGCTCTCTCTCCAGAATGTATCATATATATCTATAATCTACTATTCGTCCTGACTTAGAATATTGCTGTTATATATGACTCGGTACCCCTGCAATTTACCCTGAGCAACTTTATAAAAGCCAAAAAAGAGTCGGGCAATATTATAAAAATAAAACGTAACTATGTTTCACTCTTCGAGATGTTAATCAGAAATTTAATCGGGAATATTACAAAGTGGCTGAAATTACGTATCACGTGTGCTGATCAAAATGTCAAATATTCCATGCATAAGAGAAGGCTTCTGATTACATTACAAGGATTGAAATCAATTATTACTAATCCATACATATAAAATAATAATAATAATAATATAAGTATAAGTAATTATACTCGTCTGAAAAAACCTTAGGTGTTTTGGCTTATAAAGGAACAAACCAATACCCAAGGAAAAATAAGGGACAAAAAAAGAAAGAACTAAAAACATGTGATTGAGGCGAAAACAATCGTCCAGAATCCAAGCTCAGAGTACAAAGAAAAAAACATCAAAACGAGTAAAGCAAAATATATAAGGATAAAACTAAGTAATACTAATAAAAATCACAAGGTCTATATAGGATCTACCAAAATAATTTTAAAGTCCGATACTATAACCACATTAGTAGTTTTAATAACTAAAAATACAAGCAAATCACCACGTTATCCACTTATGCATGGAAAATTATACAAGACGATAATAAAGACCCCATTTTGAAATGAGAAATATTAAAGAAATGTCGTAAGTATAAAGCGGGTAATAAATTTTGTTCACAATGCACAGAGGAAAAGTTAGCCATCGCTTTGTATGAAGAACCCGTTAATTTGCTAAACCTAAAATCTGAAATCTTCAGTAAGTATAGACATAAGAAACACTGGTTACTAGAATAGGTTTGGTTTTCTTCTCTTTTTTCTTTATTTGTTTTTTTTTTTTTTTTGATACAGGACGATATTTTCTTTCCTTTGATAAGAGACAACGTTTTCTTTCCTTTTTCTTTGATAACAGATAACATTTTCTTTCGTTTGATAAGGGACAAGGTTTTCTTTCCTTTGATAAGGGACAGTATTTCTATTCTTTGATAAGAGATAACATTTTCTTTCTGTTGATAAGGGGCAACATTTTCTTTCTGTTGATAAGGGACAACATTTTTTTCTTTTCATAAGGGACAACATGTTCTTTCCTTTGATAAGAGACAACATTTTATTTCCTTTCATAAGAGACAACGTTTTCTTTCGTCTGATAGGGGACAACATTTTCTTTACTTTGATGAGGGACAATATTTTCTTTTCTTTGATAAGAGACAACGTTTTCTTTCCTTTGATAAGAGACAACATTTTTTTTTGATAAAGGACAATATTTTCTTTCCTTTGATAAAGGACAATATTTTCTTTCCTGTGATAAGGGACAACGTTTTCTTTCTTTTGATAAGTGGCAACATTTTTTTTTCTATCGATAAGGGGCAACGTTTTCTTTCCTGTGATAAGGGACAACGTTTTCTTTCTTTTGATAAGTGACAACATTTTTTTTCTATCGATAAGGGGCAACGTTTTCTTTCCTTTGATAAGGGACATTTACTTTCCTTTGATAAGAAACAACGTTTTCTTTCTGTTGATATGGGGCAATATTTTCTTTCTGTTGATAAGAGACAACATTTTCTTTCCTTTGATAAGGGACAACGTTATCTTTCCTTTTATAAGGGACAATATTTTCTTTTCTTTGATAAGAGATAACATTTTCTTTCGTTTGATAAGGGACAACGTTTTCTTTCCTTTGATAAGGGATAACATTTTCTTTCTGTTGATAAGAGACAACATTTTTTCTTTTCATAAAGGACAACATTTTCTTCCGTTTGATAAGGGACAATATTTTCTTTTCTTTGATAAGAGACAACGTTTTCTTTCCTTTGATAAGGGACAATATTTTCTTTACTTTAATAGGACATAACATTTTCCTTTCTTTAATAAAGGACAACGTTTTCTTTCTTTTGATTAGGGACAAAGTTTTCTTTCCGTTGATAAGAGATAACATTTTCTTTCCTTTCACGAGGAACAACAGCTTCATTCCTTTGATAAGGGACAACATTTTCTTTCCTTTGATAAGAGACAACGTTTTCTTTCCTTTGATAAGGGACAACATTTTCTTTCGTTTGATAAGGGACAAAATTTTCTTTCCTGTGATAAGGGACAATATTTTCTTTTCTTTGCTAAGGGACAACATGTTCTCTCTGCCTGTAAGGGGCAAAATTTTCTTTCCGTTGATAAGAGACAACATTTTCTTTTCTTTGATAAGGGACAACATTTTCTCGCTGTTAAAAGGGGCAACATTTTCTTTCTGTTGATAAGAGGCAACATTTTCTTTCCTTTGATAAGAGGCAACATTTTCGTTCCTCTGATAAGGGATAATATTTTCTTTTCTTTGATAAGAGATAACATTTTCTTACTTTGATAAGGGACAAAGTTTTCCTTTTTTTGATAAGGGTCAATATTTTCTTTCTGTTGATAAGAGACAATATTTTCTTTCCTTTGATAAGGGACAACATTTTCTTTTCTTTGATAAGAGACAACGTTTTCTTTTCTTTGATAAGGGACAACATTTTCTTTCCTTTGATAAGGGACAATATTTTCTTTTCTTTGATAAAGGACTACATTTTCTTTCGTTTGATAAGAGACAACATTTTCTTTCCTTTGATAAGGACAACATTTTCTTTTCTTTGATAAGAGACAACGTTTTCTTTTCTTTGATAAGGGACATCATTTTCTTTCCTTTGATAAGGGACAACATATTCTTTCCTTTGATAAGTGACAACATTTCTTTCCTTTGATAAGGGACAACATTTTCTCTCTGTTAAAAGGGGCAACATTTTCTTTCTGTTGATAAGAGACAACATTTTCTTTCTGTTGATAAGAGAAAACATTTTCTTTCCTTTGTTAAGGGACAAAGTTTTCTTTTTTTGATAAGGGTCAATATTTTCTTTACTTTGATAAGGGAAAACATTTTCTTTCTGCTTATAAGGAACAACATTTTCTTTACTTTGATAAGGGACAATATTTTCTTTTCTTTGATAAGAGACAACGTTTTCTTTTCTTTGATAAGAGACAATATTTTCTTTCGTTTGATAAGGGACAACATTTTCTTTCCTGTGATAAGGGACAATATTTTCTTTTCTTTGATAAGAGACAACGTTTTCTTTCCTTTGATAAGGGACAACATTTTCTTTCCTTTGATAGGGGACAACATTTTCTTTCTTTTCATCAGGGACAATATTTTCTTTTCTTTGATAAGAGATAACATTTTCTTTTCTTTGATAAGAGACAACGGTTCGGTTGATAAGGGACAACATTTTCTTTCTTTTGATAAGAGACAACATTTTTTTCTTATATATATATATATATATATATATATATATATATATATATATATATATATATATATATATATATATATATATAAATGAGGAAAGAACAGATAGATACCTTTTAAAACTACCATATATATATATATATATATATATATATATATATATATATATATATATATGTAATGATGAATGATATATATATATATATATATATATATATATATATATATATATATATATATACGATGCAATGAGAATGAACATAATATATAAATTCCAACGTTCACAGCATTAATTGAAAAGAGGGCGCAATACTGATAGTAGAGCGATAATTAATGATTATAATTTTGGACGAGTGAGAACCGAAAAAAATTCCGTCGAGGTGCAGTTGAAATGCACCGAAACGAAGTTGCATCTTTGTAGTGAGTAAACTGTTTTTGTCTATATGATAAAATTATAATATATATATATATATATATATATATATAT